GGACATAATGGTCTTGGTGACTCGTGTGACACTGAACACCACAAACACATCATATATGCACAACCTAGCTTTGGAAACACACACAGGAGCTGGAAGGTAGCCTATAATCAACAGGCACATTCACCATTTCAACTTCCCATGTTTAATGCTGCCACATGGTCCCGCATAACTAACATGCAGCGGAGGTCCAGCAAGAATTGAAGCAACTCACTCCACTGTAGTGTTTTCCAGGATCCAATTTTCTTTTTTTTTTTTTTTGGTACCGGGGATCGAACTCGGGACCTTGTGTTTGCCAGGCAGGTGCTGGAACCACTGAGCTAAATCCCCGGGCCCCAGGATCCAATTTTCAAACCCAATACTGCCACCATTTTCAATCATAAACATATGTCTGCTAATTTTATACAACCCAGGTCTGAGAGAATGACCTCAACAGTACTAGGTTCCTGAATTTCCTCACTTTGAGTCAAAGCTTTAAAGTATCACCTCCATTCAATTGGAAATGTGAGGGCCACTTTCTCCCAAATCCTGTAAATCATTATATTTTGGGGGTGTGCTCTTTCTGATGTGTTTGTTTCCAAATTCTTTAAAATACAGTCATCAGTCCTAGATATTAGGACAGGCAGCTCCTGGTGCTGAAGATACAATTTTCTCACTTTCTTTTTCCAAACAAGCTAACTCGTTTTGTGCTTTCAAAATAAAACGAACTGTTATACACTCAGTTAAAACAGGAAGAGCTGATAGTGATGGGCCCAGATTGCCCTCCTCCCCTCTGCATCTGAGCGACAGGTTGGAGAGGGTAACACTTGGATACTCTTCATCCCTCCCAGACCCAGCTCCCAGGGCACATGCTTCTCAGGAGGAGTCGTGGGCAGTAGGACTTACGAATTTCAAGCAGGACAAGAGAAATCAGTGGGAATGGACCACTCTGGATTAAAAATACAAAAGAACAGCAACCGGGACCAAGTTTTTTTTCTGTGCCTAAGCACTAGCAGAGGCAATTTCGACCCCTGAATACTACCATCCTTGGTCAATTCTAAACTATAGGAATTATTGTTTCCAATTTATTGCTGGGGAAATGGAATATATCGGCTAAGTGTACAAAGTAAGTGATAAAACTAGATACAAATCCATTTCTGTCTGTTGAGCATATATGTATTATCTTCAATCTCCCTCCAAGATAAACAGTATCAAATTCTTTTTGTGGGATTTAAAAATGCTTCAGTTTATTCCAGCAGGTGAGAGGGTACAAAATGTTTGGCAGCTCTACCTTAAAATAACATAACGTAATCTCGATTTGGCTTCTAGATAGGACACAACCCAGTCACTGTTTCAGAATGGGCCCTTCTTGGGAGAAACAAATGAAAAATTTATTTCATTCAGCAGATTTAAAATAATCCCATTAAATTGTTTATATATACCATGTGCATTTTATTTTAAAAAAATCAACACAAATTGAATATAGATTAAAATATTATTTTTTAGAAAATTATTCATGGTATTTTTATTAATTTGGGGGTATTTCTTTTCAGGAAACGGTTATTTAAAAGTGCAGTGTTAGAAACACAACACGTTCAAATATATCTTTTCCCACACTTGGAGACCATATCATCAGAGCTTGCATCACAGTACTTTTAATTATAGAAAGATTAACCCCAGTGCTATACATTTTAAACATAGTTGAAGAATAGAAGAGGAAGAAAGGCCATTCAAAAGCAAAGGACATGTAAGAGGTACTTTCAAAATCCTACTCATTCAACTCCCCCAAAGCTTAATAACATGCCTTATCTGACCACTAGGGAAACAGTTTCATTAAAAACTTAATATGAGTCCTGGAATTGTAATTTATATTTAGAGGTTGACACTGTTGATCAAACTGTAAGGTCTTGAGGTAGTTCTGGTTTATTGTTATAAAAAAATAGAATTAGCAACAATGGTAAATGGTATGTTAATACCTTGTAATATATTGTTGTATATTGAGAACTTATTAGAGGCAGTGCTCTGTGTATTTTGTATTCATTGTATTTCATTTGGTCCTGTCCCTTGAGGTACACAATATCCATTTATAAGTGATGAAAATGAGTCCTGGAGAGATGAAATGAGTTGCTATTGTTCGCACAGGGAAGTGGCAAAGACATGCATCAAACCCAGGCCCCTGCCTCTACAGGCTGAGCTCTTAATTATTCAGCCTTGTGTGGCAGAGATGGAGCCTGATCCCAGGCCTTCAATTTGCTTTCATTCTTACCACATTTCTGAGGACAATGCTGCAACTACACACAAGGTTATTGATTACTCCCAGGTCACAAGATAAGTGAGGTAGATCTGCTTTTTGGTTCCACCAGAAATGTTATACTAACAATGACTCAGCACGAGGTAGAGGACTATCCCCATGAGTTCCTCTACCTCTCCATTTGCAATGTAGCCAATGAGAGGGTCTAGGTGGCCTTCACTTCCCTGGTGTAATCAGTCTCAGTCCTAACAAAACACGAAGGGCCTAGAAAAGTTCAGAAAACTGAGCAAACCAAATGATTTCTTTCCTGTCTCTACAGGCAGAGATGCTCTAATTCACTCATCTTGGAGAACAGCCATCTATTCCTGAAGATGACACAACTTAATTAGACAGAATAAGATAAAACCAGTATCTGGAAACAAGAGTGTGCATTATCCAAAGGTCCCTAGAAAATAACAAAAGGTTAGCCTTTCTGTCTCACAGAATTTTAGCCTTTTAAGGCCAACTCCATGACTCTGTTCATTTTTCCCTGCTCACAGTTGCATTGTTGATAAAAGATGTAATTACTCAAAAAAGCATGACCACTCAGTATATGGATGGGGAACTTGATCTCCAGTTGAGTTCAACTATTTCTCTCAAAAACTACTAAATTCTGTAAAACTCTATGCTTCACTCCTAAAGCTCCAATAACAGTTGGATGAAACTTTGTTGTGACTCAGAATTTTTCACAGTAATATGAAAAGGGAGGGGGCAATTACGGTATTTCTAAGGATAGTTAGTAGTATTATGTCTCTGAATACCTTCTTGGTACTTGAAACTTGATTTTTCCCAACTGAACTCATGGTTTTCCTACACAAACTTGTTTTTCCTCTTAGTACTCAGTTCCAATTAATGACATGCCAGTCACATGGTTATTTAATGTGGAATCATCAATGGTCTTTACCTCCCCTTTCTTCTCCCCAACACTGAACAATGTAATATTTAGTTCCAAAATTTCTCCCCACCATCCTTTTCCTTCAACTCTAACTTCTTTGCAAAATTTAGACCCAGGTCATTTCTTATCATGACTTATAAATTATTTTTCTACCTCCAATTTCCTCCACACTTTCACTCTCTCATCCTCTTCTCTAGTATAAGAACTGGATTACTAAGACACAGATCTGACCATGTCATGATATTGTTTAAGCATCTTCAATGGCTCCACAATGACCACAGGACAGAGACTGAATTTGGGGGTGCATTCAAATGTCTTGAGAAAACTCATTTTTTTTATAGTTTTATTTCTCACCAACTCTTTAAATCCTTTCCTAATTCAAACATACACATTCATGGACAATGTGTTACCTTTGCTTACACTAGGTTTCTTACTGTTTCCCTAAATTCTAAGGAATTTGATGTCCCTTTGTTGCGTTTTCATTTAAATAGTTTATTCCAAATGGAATTTTCTGTTTAGAATACTTGAACATTCATTCACTCATGCTTCAAAGAACAACCACCTGCTTCATTCCAGTCCTACTCAACCTACCCCTCAGTACAACTATTTATGACATCATAACACATGATGTATTATTTGTGTATGTGCTTGTGTATGTCTCTTCCTTTCATGCCCAAAGTCTGAATTCTAGGATTCAAAAATCTGAATTCCAAACTTTGATTTATCTTTGTATATTTTATTTCCTAGCACATAGGAAATGGTTAATAAGTATTGTTAAGTGACCAAATGAATGAGCATTTAATAAGGATCATAGAGAATAGACTCAAGATAACATTTTGAAGACATTAGTTTATTATCTTAACTATATAATGCTTTGAACAAAAAGCACAGAGATCAAAAAAGACTAAGGATAGCAAAGATGTTGAAACTGCCTATGATGTTAAAACAAAGGTTTTATTTGTAATAGTAAAGTGGTCTGATAATGGGGCACAGACAGAGAAAGCTGAAGTGCTGTGAATCACACTGTAATCGACATTAAACAAGCTAGTAGTACCCAGCAGAGCCCAACATCAGCTCCGCCTCTTTCTGTTGCTGGATGTTAGGGTTCAACATTGAGCTCACAACTTACTGCTTTCACAAGCAGTGAAATTATCACATCCAGTCCTAATCAAAGGGATGGCTGCGGAAATGGCCTTGGTGACCAGCACATCACGACAACTCTTCCTCTCCAGGGGTTTTTCCCACAAGACTCAAGTTATTTAATTTGCTTCCCTTCTCAAATTAAAAAAAAATCAAAACAAAACAAAAAACCCAAAAACAAAAAAACCAAACCAAAACAAAAAACTCTCCTTTATTTTTCTCCTCTCTTGCCCTGTTCTATCCTGTCCTGTCCTGTCCTGTCCTGTCCTATCCTATTGTCTCCTCTCCTGTCCTCTCTCTCCTCTCATCTTCTTCCTTTTTTCATGTGTCCAAAATTAGAAGATTGGGCGAGAGAGGGAGTAGTGCCTTCCGATAAACTTAGAATGATTTTATATATAAAGGGGTTCCTCTTTTGTGCTTGCTGCCACATGACCAATCTCAGTCACTGAGATTGTGACACTGAATAAATTCAGTAGCTAGTCACACCACCTTTTCAGACTGCAGATCTTAGATGCTGGACATACGATCATTTTTGCAGGGCTTGGGAACAGGAACATGTAGCTTTCTCTTCATGCTTTGGTCTCTTTCCAGCACTGAGAGGCACTGGGTTGAGGTTGGGTCTTCATTCCAGGTTGTTCTGTTGTCCTAGCATTTAGCTTTGCTGTAGAACTCACACCACATTGACTTCCATCCTTTCAGTTGGCAGGTGGCGTGACCTCGGACATTTTTGCTGTCCTTGGTTCAGTGATTTTAGTCTTGCTACTCCTCCTCTCGCTAGCTGTGGTCACTTCTATTGTCACCTCCCACAAGAGGGCAGCTCAGGGAGCCTACAACCCGAGCCAGCAGGAAAAAGAGGGTGCTCGAGTGGAAATGTGGAGCAGGATGCCACCCCCCGCGACGGAGAGGCTGCTCTAGGGGCACTTCTGCCTCTCTGAGAAAGGGATCAACGCGCAGTGAAAGTACATTGTATAGGAGGGGTTTGGTGACACACCTAGGAGATGTTAATTTACACCTGGGATGACACTGGAACCGGGGGAAAGATTTTTTTCACCACCTTAAAGGTTTTCATGACTCTGGGCTGTTCATTTCAGCTTCCCAATTAGCAAATACATCTCCCAGAGAATAATATCTTTTGGAAAAATCTCCAGTGGCTGTTACTTTAGCTCTTTACTCTTTGCCACCTGGAAACAACATTTTAATTTGCCCACTGGCAGACAAACTTGATTTTTTTTAAAGCACAGAAACTATGGGGCTGGTGGAGGGGGGGTACACTTTTCACTCCTTTGATCATGTGGTGAAAGATGTTAGTGCTTGTGATGAGAAGTATTCTTTGTCTTTCAATCATGGATTCAAAGAAAGCCATGGGAATGACTCTTGATTTAAAAAGTGACCCAACGTGACAAAAATTGAAATGTGGCTTTTGCCCTTTTTTTGCATTTTGCACATTGTATGTGACAAAAGTAACTTCAGAGCATGAACTTCCTTTTGAATTGTATCATTTAACTGAATCATCTCAAGCTGATTATATTCAGAGTTATTAATCTTTATAAAGTGTGCTGCCTAAAGCCAAAACACTTTCTTCACAGAAATCACAATAGGAGGAAAATTCAGATTCTCAAGTGTGAAAGATCAAGCTCTTTTCTTTCAGCTGATTTTGATAAATCAGTGTCAAATAGTGACAATACCTAAAGGCAAGCATCTCTTCAAGGTATGTGTGCAAGACTATAGAGTATGAAGAAGAAATACTGGGCCTTCTATTCATATATTTTCTACACAGTATTTTGTTTTCTACATATGTTTTGAAATAGGCATAACAAGGCACTATAACATAATACAAATAAAACAGGAATGTATGCACATATTTTTGGCTATATGTGCATATGCTCAAAAATTTTAATAATATGAGTTTCTAAATCTGGTCTAGAATATCCATCCTTTTCTTTCCAATTACTAAAGGACACTATTTCAGCAAATTCCCCTCTCTCTTACATATCATCAATTTTCCTACTGTACTGGGCCATTCTCATTAGCACCAAACATGAAGTCATATTTCCTTTCATACAGAATTTTCTTCCATGACCTGCCTCTTGCCCCAAATACCCACCCATTTCCAACCTCCCTATTCAGGAAAGTATCTACAACAGAGTTTTCCACATCCATTCCATCCTCTTTCTCTCTTCTCATCCTCTCTTTAACTAATTTGCCTTCCACCACTCAGTGGTTTCCCACCTTGCCAAACACAATGGCCAGTCCTCAGTCCTCAGCTTTCCTGTAATTTCAGAAGATTTTGAAACAGTTGTCCGCTCCATCTCTTTGACTAGTTTTTCCTCCTCTTCCCAAACTCTGCTTCATTTTTTTCTGTACTGTCTACTGCCAATTGAGACTCTATCCCCTGTCTAGAATTTAAGTTACATAAGGGAAAGAACTTCACAGGAAAAGGAATAATGTAAGTAGCTGAGCTTTTAGCTGGGTGTGGTGGTGCATGCCTGTAATTCCAGCATTTGGGAGGCTGAGGCAGGAGGATTGCTGTGAGTTTTAAAAATTAAAAACTAAAAAAAAAAGAAAAATTAGAGTAAGTTGGCCCCATTGGTATTAATACAGGTAGAAAGAAAGAGGTAACTTGAATGATAAAAACCATAAAATTTAGAAAAGATGTTTTATTAGTGCTCCTTACCTAGAATAGATCTAATCCATAGTGAAAACCCAATAAACATTTCCTGTATGAATGAAAACATTAGGAGGGAATGTTGTTCCAGTTTGTACCTGCCCCCAGCAAAACCTCAGTGTGCCCAAGACATATGTGTTCTATAACTAAATGCTCTGGCTACTAAAGCATCATGGCTCGGTAGCCTATCTAATGCATTAATCTCTGGTTTTCTCTCAATATCTAACATTGTCTTCCATGTAAGTTCAGGAAGACAGATGTCTCTGGCTGTTTACAAGCGGAATGTGCCATGAGACATATTTGGTTTTGAATCCCATTGGAGTTACAACTTCTCAATAGAAGTGTAAGTGGAAAGGACAAAAGAGCTCTTAAAGAAAAAAAATACAGGTAACTGAGTTAAAAGAAATACAAAGAAGGGCTGGAGATGTAGCTCAGTGGCCCTGTGCCTGCCTGGCAAGCACAAAGTCCTCGGTACCAAAACAAACAAACAAACAAACATACAAAGAAAAAATTACAGGATGAAGGTTTGCCCTATTAGTATTAGCACAGGTAGAAAGAAAGAGGTAATTTCAATGGTAAGACCATAAAGTTTAATAAGATGTTTAATTAATCTGGCTATTAGCCCTTCTCCAGTACCTAGTTTATGTCTCTGCATAGGAATAAACATACATATATATGCATAGTGAATTTGTGAGTTATGAAGAAATGAATGATCCCATATGGATACTTCAAACACAGGATTCCCTAGTGAGCCAAATTTTTGAGTCTTTGGCCAAGCCAAACATCCAATATCTTTATGCTAGATATGCTTCCGAGTTATCCCTCTGGAGGACTGCCCTGAATGACCTTTAACAGGTGAACTTCACTTTAAGTAGGACAGTCTGGCATCTGCATCACAAACGCTATAACTTTGGGATCGTGAGTATTCTGCAATTCACCTTAGCATTGGTTTTGAAGATGAACACAGCAGTTCTTCCCAGGTCATTTGCAAAGTAAAGTTGAGCCTCTCTTTGGGAGGTGCAGTCTGCTGCCCTCCTCTCCAGGCAGGGCTGGCCTGGTGATCAGCTTGGGCCCACAGAACATCACGGAAAGGATGCCCTGCAGGTATCAGGCCAGGCCCTGCAAGCTTGCAGTTTGTTCGCCCTCTCCTGGAAGACAGCCTTGAGACTGCCACCTCTGAGGAAGCCTAGGTGAAAATACCACATGGAGACAGAGGCCCGGCCACGCCTGCTATGCAGGCACATAGTGACCCACCTGCTACAAGAAAGGGAGCCCCCAATTAATACACAGACTCTTGAGAAATAATAAGTCATTGTTGTAAGACGCTAAGGGTTACAGTGGTTTGTTATATAGTTATACGGAAGGGAGACACAACCATTCGCTTCACGTGCGTGGGCAAACTAAGGCAATATAAGGTAATTTCTATTTTTTTATTATTCAGTGTTCATCTTCATACTAACAACAATTAGTACACTGTTAATAAGATATCACAGGGCCGGGGATTTAGCTCAGTGGTGCCACCGCCTGTCTCGAAAGCAAAAGGTCCCGAGTTCGATCCCCGGTCCAAAACAAAAACAAACAAAAAAATAAGATATCACAAATACATGCCTGATTTCTCTCTGGAGCTATTAAATTCAAACTCAGATCTGGCTGGCGCTGAGGATCCTCCTAGCACAGTTGTGTGCGGGCTCTGGGGGCGGGTGTAAAGTGGCCACGGTGGGCCTACCTTCTGCCCCCAGGAGAACTGGCGCAGAGCAGCCCCTGAGAAAGACACATCCGGGGTCGTGGCCTCACTCGTGGCTTCCGGGCTCACAGCAAGGGCAGAGAATCCGGGAAGTGGCTAACGACTGTAATTTAAATCGGCTGTCAACCTGGCCCCTCTTCACTCCTTCACACATACTGCTTGCTGTTTAACAGATCCTCTTATCTCTGAGATGGAGATAGGGATGGTCCCAGAGTCTCACCCTGCGTCGCCAGAATTATTATTACTACACATTAGCGTTAGAGGCGGTAAAGAGCTATAGTCACGGTGTACAGAGGTAGAACTGAAAGGCATTGTGATGATTACTAGAATGAAATGAGGGATCCTGTACGGAGATCTAGCTACAGTGCTAGGATAATAGCAACAAACCTTGCTACGCTTCATACGTTATATCTCATTTACAGCCCTAACAGCCCCCTGAAGGAGAACTTGGATCATTTTAGGAGACTTTGAACACACACAGGTTTATATTTCTGATCTGCTCCATTCAAGTGACCTGAGCTTCTTTGAAAAATTGCAGTCACACCTCTATATCACAGGCATATCTTGATAATGATTTGTTTCAATTGTTTAATTGCAAGTAAGCACACAATATACAGCACCTATATTTTTCCCCCAGTACTGGGGATCGAACTCAGGACCTTGCACTTACCAGGCAGGCACAGCACCACTGAGCTACATCCCCAGTCCTTCAGCACCTATTATTACTGTTCAGATAAAATTGGAGTGTTAAAGCACAAGTGAGAAGCAGTGGTAACATTTTAGTTGTTTCCACACTCTTTTCCTCTTAATTTCCTTCCCAATGCTTCTTACTGAGGGTCTGCAAAATAAGCAGGTTTTATGCAGAGAAAGATTTCTTTTTATGTCATCCCTTACCTTCAGATTTCCCTTCTGGTGGCAGTCCCACCAATTAAAGCACTTTACCTGCAAGACTGAAATAAAATCCACACACCACTTCCGTGTTCTCAATAAACTCACCAGAAAATAAACTGAAAGGTCTCAGGTTTCTCAGATTCCCCTGAACAACTGATGATAGGGGTTTTTTTTGTTTCACTTTATAGAAAACTTCCTCTTCCTCCTTCCTCCTTCCTCTTCTTCCTTCTCCTTTGTTAGTATTGCTTTTATTTTTATTATTTGGTCTTGCCTTTTAGGATTACTCCTTAAACCTTTTGATAAGGAATCACAATCATGTATTATCATCATCAACAAGAAAGATAGGCTCATATCTTGCATTTTAAATTATTCTTCTGATGATGATTAGCTAGCCACTTTCACCTAGTTTTATACTCTATAGCAATATGATTCAAACCATAAAGTTGTCCTTAATTCTGGAGTGAATATGACTTTTCAAATTTCAACCTACTTCCAGCAAATGTGAAATTTTTACTGCTTTGCATTGCATTGAACAGTGATGACAAAAATGCATGTTTCCAATTTAAACTCATGCTTCTGTGATTTGGTATCCAGCCTTTGTTGTTTTATGTGGTTCCCCAAACCTGGGAACAACATCTATCAAATATATTTGGC